AAGGAGCTGAGCAAGCGGGAGACGAGAAATGTGAATGCCAGCGCTGTCACGACTGCATCACGTAGCCTGTCCCTCCTCCCGATTTCTATGAAGCGCGCCTTGTGAAAGCAGAGACGGTTCCCAAGGCCCTCTCGACCGTTTCCGGTTGCCATGACAGCGGAAGTCTTCCCTCGTGACGTCATTGTCCGTTGCTAGGCAGTCTGTGGTCCATTAGCTCTAGGGTAGAGTGAGTCATTCTTTTGGTAATATGAATACTGCTGGCTCTTCGTTGAATGGAGAAAGCACAACCAACCGTGCTGCGTGTAGGTTCCACTCAATCGTTGCAATTTTCCTGAAAAAAAATGTGATTTGCAATTTTGGAATGACAAATTATTTCCAATCTATTCAGGTCCTGTCTGAGTGGAAAAATTGAGTGATATTCTGATTAAAATGTTCCAAGAAATTTGGCGTTGTATTAATTTCTCTGAAGAAACGGTTTTCCAACCGCCGTATATTATGATGTGATTGTAAGATTTCACCACCTCTGTCGATGTCGAACGTGATCGCCAATCACTAATCCTCAAACTGTCCGGAACACTTCTGTGAAAACAAAAATCTATTTCCACTGACAAATTATGCTTTTAACTGTTACTTCTTAATCTCCAATCTGCCATTAAAAAAATCATCTTGGGACATAATTTTCCAAGTAGATTTATTGATTAATAATATGACGTCCAGTCTAAGACTATATCAAACTACATGAAAACTGACACAGGTATTCTAAATTATACCGTTTATTTCCTTGTTTAAAAAAAAAGCTTAGTGGAAAAAGTTCGCCAAAAATAAAATTCAAAGTTCTCTTTTACAATCCAATGCCGATTTGACCGGGGTGTATATACCAAGTAGAGATTGTAATAATTTGAAAATATGTCAAATGAGTTTTTTAATTTATTTCGCAATTTGAATATAGGGTCAAGGGTCGAAGTGACAAAAGGTCAAAGTGCAGGGCATGTGTCATTCCACAGCTCAATCAGTGACGTCATACAGCCATGGGGGTAATCGCTCGCCGTTATCCAATCAGCATCGTCGACGCACATGACGTGTATCACTCGCCTGGTGAAACCATGACAACGACCACATTTCCAATCCAAATGAAGCATTTTTTTTAAGGTAATGCTCTCCTTTGAAGGAATATGACCACAAACATGGCGGGAATGTTGTTCCTCTATGAATGATCACGATCAAGTTTCATCATATTGGTACACTCGTGCGATGCCTTTCTTTGAAAAGAACCCGATAAAATTATGCATATTAATGAAAAGGCAATAAAATTCCAGAGATCGATTTAATATGGTCCAGAATGCACCACACACATAAATTGATGAAAATTTTATAACCGGAATTATTACATTGATTTTTAATAGGCGAGGCTGTTTCATCGGCACAGAGTTTCCCGGAATATATTTCTATTGATCATTAAATTAAATTTTGACTGATTGTATCTAGTTTAAGTGTGGCCTTTGCGTGGGGAAGAAATAATGCCGCGGCGCTTGGGGACACGTTACATAAATACTGGGATGAAATCGCACACCGTTACCAGTTATGAAATTAAACACGGTACTTCACCCACGTGCCATAGACTGGATTCCAGCCTAAGTTAGTCGTCTCGCGTCGTCTTTTCTTTTGAAGTCAAAACGAGGTGTTTTTTTTTAGAGCAAATCTGAAGTTTAGGCCTATATTTGAAATGCTCATGGTCATTGTATGTAGACAACGGGTAGGATTTAGTCCTGAACGTCCGGATGGGACGACAGTTTCTGTAGTTGCATTCGGTGCCCTGTCCATGTTGTTGCACATTCCTAATCGGGCAGCCTTCTTGCAGCAATGACTGAGTGGGCAGTCTACACGAGTGCCATTTGACCGCTTCGGTCAAGGCTACACTGTGCGCCGTTGTGTAATATTTTAAAGGGGCGCGCCATTTTGAAATGAAAGGCCGTGCCTATAATTGCTTCTCATGACGCAGTGAATTTCCACCAGCTGGCTGACTGGACAATCTACATTCATTCGTCATCGTTGATAGGCACGTGACTTGTGACGTTGTTCTGATTCACTGTCTTTTCGTTGAGTTATGGTGTAATTGTTGCCACAAGTTTCTCCTCCACGATAAAAGATTATTTTAGTAGTGTGTAAGTTTATCGAGACTTTTTTTTTAAAATTACAATTGAACAATAATTAAACGATATCAAGAAACCGCACATCAGAGTTTTTCAAAGAACTTAACAACGCCAATCAAAATTCAAACGTAACATTCACATGACAACTTTTCCTTTCGTTTCTAGTTCGGTAGCCTGCATTCTTGTGTTTGTTCACAGTTTCCCAATTTGGAAATACGGGTCACGCGCTCTAGTCTCACGTCAATATTGAAAAGAAAAAGAAAACAAATACCCGATATCACATGTTTGTGATTCCAACAATTTGTACACATCAAGGTAACACTGCGATTTCGCGGTATAAGATGACGCGGCGCCGCCCCTTTTCGTCAAACAAAACCTCTAAACCGAGAACAAAACGACAGCAAAACTGACTTATTTAAAAATGTAAATATTTTGTCTATGTCATGTATGACGAATTCTTTTGAGGGAGAACGGGGCCGCAGCCCGATTGCACGCAATCCGTGCACAATCGTACCGCTCCGTGTCAGTCCGTTCAAAAGCGCGTTGCTGCACTCGCCAGATCCACTGTGCACCGCACTATTTACATTCTTTCAGCTGTGGGCAAGGGGGCGGTGCTTAGCTGTGACGTCATAGCAACTCCGTGGACGACGCCGAACAATAACACTGGCTGTAGGCGAGTTCATTACTTGCTAGGGGAGGATTTGTTGTTTGTTCTACAGTCGCCTCAACGAGGGGACAGGGACAGATTGTACATTTTTTTCTAAATGAGAAATTAAAGGTTTGCCCTTTCAACACAAAAAGCTGTACCAACGTTTGACATTGTGTCGTGTAAATTGATTACGATGTTCATTGCATCATAATTTTGATCGTTTTAATCGTCAATGCAAAACGTATTTCTAATAATTCTTACTGTGCATTTCTATCAACTTTTGGATGTACCGGTAAATTTTGAATGACATTTATGTTACGATTAATTTTGTAAAGCGCATTGAGATATTTCTGATGATGTAATGCGCTATATAAGAATAAGTTGTTATGTCATTATTATTTTTTAAGTTTCAAATAAGATGGTGTGCTGTTTAATCGTTTCATTTGCAATAACATTGGCTCTGCTCTCGACGAGACCCGAGGTGGGTGATATTGTAATGGACTAATGTGCGATATACGCTGAAGTTGTTCGTAAAGAAACTTCTAAATGCACCTTGAAATGAAATTGATAGTTCCCCCCGTTTGAGGATTTGTCTCTGAGACAAATATATTTATTTTGAGGGTTTCAAGAGATTAAAAATGCATTTTCGAGTTTCACCTCGAAAAAGAGATTTTTTTTCACTTGCTATTTTCTGAGCAATATAAAAGTTATTCATTTTTGAATGAGACATCGAAAGAAAAAAAACAGCGCCGTTTCAGTTACTGAATTATGTCTTCACAAAATTCGAATAATTGGCTGCCAGATAATTCGGCTCTTGCGGGGCGGGTTATTTGGGCACAAAATGAAAGCCCTTTTTTAGTGCGACGCAGACGCCCAAAATCGGAATAAAGTAGGTGTTTTTTATTAAAACAAAACATACAAATTGTAAATTCGTAAGGAGACCCCTCCCCTATTTTTTTTAAGAGCACGGATATCATCTTTACGATCATCAGCCCAGGTTAACTACGATCGTGCGGCAAGTAGGTATTTGTACTTGTACTAAAGTCAAAATTTCTGTCATCATTTTTGCTTTCGATCTTTTATACTTTGCTCACATTTTCTGCAGAGTTTTTGTCCTTGCACTACTCAGCCTTGTCAGGTTTACGAGAGTTTAAGGCCTGTGACGTGTGACGAAAGACGGACTCATCATTGTAATGCGCTTACGTCATTGAACAGAATTGAAAAGAAACAAGTCACGTGTGACGTAGTCCATTTTTTTTAGGTAAAAGGAACCAGCATTCCTAGAAGTCTAAATTTCATATGACAACGGAAAATGAAATAAAAGATCATAACAACTCGGAGATCGAGGAATAGAATTGCCGAAATTTGGATGCTGCGCGCCCCTTTAAGCAGTCAGGGGTATGAATGAATGACTCACGATTTACGGGCTGTGCATCATGTACCTCGACATGTACGAATCGTGATTTATCCTGCATGTACCAAACGGTAGATGCTCACTCTATTCAACACGCTGCCTTTCCAAAGGTCTAGGAGCTGTCTGCAAACGTACCTGCCTATCGCGAATAAACGAGAAACCTTATTTTGGAGTAAATTAGATTTAGCCTACTAAATAATTTGTCGTAGCATAACTAGGCATAGCGTAGCCAGCAAAAAGAAATGAAATATATTTTGTTCACAATGATTTCAAAAGATATGTTGTCTTTTGCACAATGCGCAGTTGAGAATCTGAACTGTGCCTACTGGGCATACGTTTTCATCCGGGACTTTATCTGCTTTCCATTATCGAAATTGAACAGATTGCAAACCAAGTACATCGCTTTCAACTTCAAGTAAACATGATTGAATTGTTGGATTGTTGAAAAAAATAGTCTGAATTCCCTCTGATGCTTTAAAATTCACAAAAACAAGTTCCATGATTTTGTAAATAACCTTTATTTGAAAAAGAGTCATTTTTATTAGAAAGGCTTTTTTCTTACAATTTCTAATTTCACTCCCCGAATATTCAGCACACCTGCCCTTCATTCATAACTCTTCATTCATAACGCCGCTGCACTGTACTGAGAGCGTGCAGTCACACACAGTACGTGACTGACACCCCCATACGGCAACAGATGGACGAGTCTGTGTTTCCCATTGGCGGCTGTTGACCTTTAGAGAGTAATTATGTAGATGACCCTCCCACTTGCATGACCCCACTCCGAGTTTATTTCATCGTCGCGTTCTGCGGAATTCATTCATTGAGAGCGTTCGCTCGTCACACGTACGGACTCAATTTTCCGTACTGTTAGCCGCGCAGTGTGCCTTATTAACACTGTACACTGTCTGACAGTTGTTCCTGTCCTCTGTCACATTTTGTTTCAGCGATATACTAGTGATCCTGAGCTCTCTTTTGCGAGGGTTCGCCAACACTTGAAGCATACCGACGATGAACCACCTCTAGCAGGCTGCATTCCCATCGTCCGGCCTGGCAGCCCGGCGTGTATTGACCGTGCACAGTGCGGTGACGCGTAGCGGGTAAGTCCGTACTCTGCACCGCCAGTGACCCACTCCATTGAGAGGTCCATTCATGCCACACACGATCTACCCCGAAGATCCCTGCTCAGGCCCAGCTGCCATGGCTGTCAACTACGGCATGGAAGCACCCAGCTCCACCAGCCCAGCCCGTGGATTACTGACCGTGCATATCCACCCTACCACCGGTGGCCGGTTTACCATGGAAATACCCCGGCATGCATCGGTCGAAATGCTCAAGACCAAAATCTCCAAGCAACTTCGAGTAGCCAAGGAGAGGCTAACTTTGCTGCACCGTGAAACGTGAGTATATTTCTTTTTTGAAAAAGCCATTCCACTTTTACTTTAACTAAATTCACTATTAAGTTTGTAAGCCACTATTTGTTTGCCAAGTAGGCCGATACTGAAAAAATAGGCCTACTGCAATTTTCTGATGACCAAACATTTTCTTAAAACCAGATAGAAGAATCCACTGTAATTTTTTTCAACCTTGCCCTTTGTACACTATACATGTAGTGTGTTCACCCCAACCTTTGGAATTAATTTTGACATGTTGGACGTATGTCTTTCCTCCCAAAAGTTTGCAGTAATTGCACATGTGGTCTGTGTATCGTGTATCTAGCTCACCAGTTTGCATGCATTGTGGATGTACATGTACATGTACATTGTACAAATGTACAGTACAAGCACACATACCATCACTCGTCATGTCCGTCTTCTGTGTACATTGTGGTATGCACGTGTGAAGGCATATCATAACGAATCGGGAAGTTACAAACACAATTTCCTTGTACATGTACATGTACAACTGTACATGTACTTCCAGAAATCCAGGAACACATGTATGCATGGAGGTAGCTCCACGATGTACGCATGTGCATCGTGTACATAATGCACACCTGGAGTGAAAGATTCTTTTTGTTGCGTTTATCATCTAATCCAATATTTGGTACAAAGCCCCCAAAGTAGATATTTGCCAATTGCTGCCAATTTGGATTTCCTTTCGTGCTATTTTTTTTTAATGTTCAGAAGGCGCAGGAAAAATTATTCATTGACAAAAATTATGCTGAGGTACGTACGCACCTCGCGAAAGTGTTGTATCATGCGAATAAGAACCAAGTGTTACTTGGAATGCGTATTACCAGAAGGCGCGTGCATGGAGCAACGACTTGGTAATTGGGCCTTAATGGCTTTTTACTCATACAAGCCCGGTTGCCCAAACAGTTTCAATTTTCGTAGAATATCTCTGTACTTTATGGTAACACCATAGCCTTGAACGCAAGGCTGTGTATAATATTGCTGTATCACTCAGCGGGCGCGCACCACGCGGTTGATATCGTATAATTAGTCATGATCACAGCGTATGGCCGAACTGTTACGTAATCGTTTTGGAATGATTCACATGCAGGTTTAGTGTGCGGAAAACACAATATTGCGATCACATAAATTCAGATACATGACACAGCACAATAGCAATTGGAGTTCTGGGGATAGGTGGTCGAGTTAAGCCTTGGTTGGGGCTGTACTTAATAAATTACTTACCCCTGTTTACCAGGAAAAAAATTGCTACAAATTTTGGTTAAGTAAAGCTGCAACCATGCTGCAACTCACAATTTCGGTGATACTACGCACGCTACTAGTTCTCAAGGTCAGAGTCGCATAGAGCGAACAAGCCCCAAAATAAAGTTCATTGTGAAAGTATAACCTCGGTTTGAATTAATTCTTATTCGGTCGTTTAAGTAAATGAGCTGTGTACTTAAGGGACGTGACTAGATGGTTTGTAACCAGCCCACGCTATATGGATGTATTAATTGGCAATTATGGAGCGGTGAAGCCCGGAGCGCGGTCTATCGTGACGAGAGCGAGTTGGCCGTGCGGCGTGTGCGTACCGTGTGGACGAGTTTGTAGAAACTTGCTCTTCGGTTGCGCGTGCGCGGTGACTTCGGCCCGTGGAGACGTTCAAGAGAGCGTGCGCGGTGACCTCATTTATTCGGCCATTCACAAGAGCGGCGCGGAGGCGCATCGCCCCATATATGGACGTATTCGCTGATTCTTGAGATGAATGGAGGACAGGAGGACAGTGTGCACACATTACCTGTCATCATATGCTTGGTCGCACTACTGCGCTAGTTTGATGCGTTCCCAATTTTTCGTGTCGTTCCGAGCGCCAGGAAAACAGGTCCATCGCCTATCGCGCCATGCATGACTAGCAATGACGATGGGGTTTTACAATTTCAGGCCTGTTTGAATACCTCTCGCTGAAATGTCTTTTTAAAAATGGGAAAGACTGTTCCTCAGAAGCTAGTGCGCTGGCCTTCAAGAAAACATGGTAGTCCATTGCATGTTTACACGCATTGTTGGAAAGTGCTTCCTTGAAAGATGTAAGCCTAAAACATGATGTTTCGTGTTCAGCATCGTTAGTTGGAAGCCATGTAAACATTTACATGTACATTAGTTGCAGTGATGTGACCCTTGATGTTTACCTTCAGGATATATAAAAGTCACCCACTCGATATCGCGAATGTAAGCATGGAGTTGCGATTTATAGCTCCATGATGCATACAGCAAGGTCCTATTTGGAGTCCTGACGAAAGCACTGGGGACACTATATTTAGCCCCAGATATGCCAGCAGAAACTCAAAGTTCTGTCGAATCCTTCCAAATCGTAATTTTCCAGACTGCAATCAGTTGTGGAATAACACTTTGATATTTTGGACAGGTCTATAGAAAACTGATCTTTGAACTTAATCACGCACTGCATGCTGGGGACCGGGGGATCCCAGCCTAAAAAAAAACCCACACGGATGTAAAGAAAATCCGGGAAAAGGAAATAAAGGCTTTGCATTGTTGATGTTGGTTGTTCCGTGACCAGTTTGGGGTAGCACTTTTCTAGAAAATGGAAAGAGAAATAAGTGACCCCGGATACCCAAACTCCCCAAAAAGTTTCCCAATCCTTTTTACGTACTGGGCCAAGGCAGCTATTGTTGTGAAATAGGAATTAAGCCATCTGCCATATTTGTTGGTTTTTTAGTGCACAACAGAGACGGTATACAATCTCATTATCACAGTAGCCGTTTCGCACTATGGCAAATAGTTTATCCTGGTGCCGCGACATTAAAAAAAAACACACAAAAAAACTTAGCTTTTCCAACTTAACCAGCCAATTGAGTTTTTAGTACTAGTGTACCACTACCAGCAGACTTGGTATAACCTTGCTACCAGGATTCTGGATGACGAAGGGACTTCCCCTAAACGTTCCCCAATTACAAAATGTAGATTTGCTAAATGTTCGTCCACTATACCTTTTCCATAGGCCTTTATTGATTCCCCGAATCACCGAAGAAACACAAAGACTAAGAAATTGTTGCGCATGCTCGCTACGTATCCCCGCGCTACTTTCACAAAGACCGGCTTAAACAATCGCATTAAAATTTACAAAGATTTTTATGGTACCCAACGCGTTATAAAAACACAAAAATCCGTCTACCCTCAAAAACTGCAGTGTCATTTGCAAGCGTTTTTTTTTTAACACAGCGCAAAATGTTTGATCCCACAACACAATAGCAAATCGATGAGGCAAAATTGGAATAACCTCCCCCACATTTACCACGCCTACATTGTGTTTAAAATCTGTCTTTTTTGTCATTATTCGTGCTCAGCAATTTATTGTCGGTCAAAATTGGCATTGCGGTTTTCTTTTCATCTGGGGCATATCCGAAGTTACATGTAAACCGCACATCGTTGGTTTCTGTTTTATTTATCGCTTATATAGGCCTACGCGGACTCTCCATACATAAAGTTTCCTGAGCAACCTCATGCTAGTAAATGAATTGCCACGTGACCAGTGGCGACCACGTGACCAGTGACTCCACTAACAACAAAGTGTCTCACTTGTGACACATGACATTCATGGTATCATGTGAGACTTCGCCCGATATCACGTGACATTGGCAAGTCAGTCGTCACATAGCAGTTTGTATACTGAGCTGAGACGATGCATGCACAGTCACGTACGCTCTCAAGTCGCTAGTGCTGCACATCGTTCGTCTTCAAGATACAGGCCCATGTCTTATCAGACTCGAAATATATCCTCGAGGATTTCCTGGCCAAGTTAAAAATAAAAGTGAAAGCGGGATGGTATATGTATAGCCGGCTGTTCACACGGGCACGCACTCCGACACTGGTTTTAAAAAGGGTATCGCACCGATATATTTAGCACACGGTTTGTCATTGTAGAATTTGAGCGAGAATTTCCTCTTCCTATATTATGATAGTGGTAAGTCAAGTCCGGTTCATACACTAAAGTCACGTATACTTCACACGAAGCGAAGCAACTTTTGACGTCACGAACTGTTCGCTGCGAAATTCCCCGGAGCTAGTTGGAATGTTCAACTTTTATGCGTTCGTTTTCACGCTTAGTGTAAAACGACGCTAAAGACTGTAGAACAGTTTTGTACGGAAATGCCATACTTTTACTGTGTGTTCTCAGTGAACGTCTTTCAGTGACCATATAAGGTGTATAAATCACCTGGATTTGAGCTTAACACTAACGGGCATAATGACTGTTTGGTGCTGTACCATGTATTGTATTAACTGAGCTGTATCTAGCCTGTAAATGTCAGCTGTCTGCCAATGTGTCAGCATCGCTTGTAATAACCTGCCCGAAAAGGTTCGAATGAGTCCGAGTCATGGATGAGTTATGTTCCCGGAAAGAGTTTGATTAAAGTTGAAGGCTGTATCTCGTGTGAGCAGTGTGGGTGGGAGGGAGGGTACAGCATCTCGTGCAAACAACGTGAACACATGAATGTACACTGTTCATGAAAATGTACAAAGACATGCAACTGCACTGTTTGAGCATGATGAATACCTATACGGAGAAAAGGTGCGCGAATGTTGTGTGACGGTTTCGTATCTGTTCTCCTAAACCCACTGCAGTTTTGTTCTTGGAATATTACATGGCCCCACCCCCATTTTTCTCACATTTTCGGCACTTTTTGCCAAATCCAAAAACAGGCCTTGTAATTCGTGAATTCAGTGGACAAAGTTGAACCCGCAAAATCAACCCACAATTCTACTGAGATCGCGTCCAGAGGCGGCCATTTGATGCATCGAACCCCCAGTGTGTTCCGAGTGCATTGTTCTGGCTTGTTTTGACTAGCCCACACAAAAAAAAAGGAACTCTTGGTCCTATCCATACAATGCTACCAGCTACGAGAGTCCCGGTTTCGGTGCTTACAAGGGGTCGAGGTCGGGGTGGGTTCGACCCCATAACCGCGTGCACTGACCGCGAACTTGTGCCCCCAAACATTCCGCGGAGTTCACGTCGCTGAAATGTCGCAACCACCGACTGAATATAGTCGCGGGACCCTGCCGTAGAAATCTGGCTGGGACAACAAAAGACTCCCTCCCTTTTGCGCGGTATAAAACTACCCCTGGGTTTACCGAAACTCGATGAATGTTTGTTGATAAATGGCAGCTGTTTGGTTTTTGTGTGTGTCTGATGAAAAGTTGTCAGCAGCTTTTGGAAATGGAATTGAAATGTTCTGAATTCCACTTATTCCAGGTACCTCAATTGTATTCATGTGCAAACTTGTGAAACTACTCACATAAATCGTATTCATGGCTACTGAAATGTGTATCCTTGTGGAGACATTTCTTTGTTCTCGTGTATACTAAAGTTTTCGAGTTTGAAAGTACAGTTTCAAAATGATCTTATGTTAACCAGAATTAATTTCCTTCGCTGAAATTCGGACTTATCCCTTTTCTAAAACTCTTCCAGATCAACCCACCTTTGAAATTCCAAGTTTTTGAGTAAAATCCATATATCTATTTCTTGACAACCTTGTGGAGACGTATTCATCTATAGAAATTGCCCTGTGGAGACGTATACAATTTTTTTGTTCCCAATTGTGTGCATGTCTCCAGCGGGCACGGTGTATCAGATCACATTGACAGAAATCATAATGCTTAAACTCAAAAGTGTTGTTGAGAAACCACCCTTTTTATATTGACCGATAATTTGTGTATCCGTCAATGCCTATACGTTTTTTTTTCATGATAGAAATTGAAGTGCTCACTTTTTCCCCGCTTTTTTTTCTTTCCCAATTTCGCAGACATCTTAAGCGCGGGACGCTTGAGGAGAACCTCGTCACGGACGGCAGCAAGCTAACGCTTCTCCCATTGGTCGAAAGTGGGCTTGTGGTAAGTGTTGCCATGGTAACTCTGACGTCACAATAGTGTAGAATCCTGATAGTCACGCACAGAGAAAAAAAAAAGCAAACACGATTTTGCTGGTATCCACACAGCTGTTACATCGTAATCAGCATTGAACACAGTATTTCCCATGGCATTTTCAATTGACGCAAGTTAAGAAGACAACAGGGCCCCTGGATTGCCAAATAAAGCTAAATGTAACCGTTTGACCTTTGCAGATGATATTTCACCGCTGAAATATGGGGAGAAATATATTTATAGAGAAAACAAAAGGTTGCGTTTCCTTGTTTCATTTCCGTCGACATATTTTTTTTCTACGATGGAGTTATAGGATTGCAAAAAATGGCGGGAAATACTTTGCCTAATTCTTGATCTGTCCTGGCTTCAGTGCATCCAGACAATTGTAGATTCCCTTTCGTTTTCTGTCACCGAGGGGCTAAGAGAACGGAGAACTAAAGCCACTCAAAACTGGCATTCAAAATTTGGTTTACTCTTTATGAATTGGCCTACTGCTCACGAAGAAGAGGGTGGTTATAAGTTTTTAAATGCTTAAAGGCATATACATGTATACGTGTAGAATCATATGCATATACATGTATATTCCGAAAAGTTGCTTACCGAATTGTTATCATAAAGCCCTTTTTTATTTAAAATCGGAGTTGTACTAAACACCCCGTGCAATTATTCTGTCTGGCTTGCTGTCATTTATAGAAGAAATCAAGAAAATGTATACATGTACACAGGTGATTTCCAACTATATCATTCAAGTGACTGATTTTCGGAAGTAAAGAGTGCTATAGACGAAATCGTGATTCATGGTCAAAAGGTTTTTCATCGTTTTTGTTTTTTTCTCACGAAAAGTGTAAGCTGAAATTTCAACAGGTTAGGTTTTGAACATGTTGTCTTTTTACTTTGAGTTGTGTGATAACCGAAGAAAATGCATGACTAGCAAATAATCCTGTAATGCCATGAAGCGCAGTGTCTGTTCGTGTGGTCATGGTTTGGTCTTCTCTGGTATTGTAATACGTTTACCCATAGAGAAAGCAGACTCTATTATGGTTTACCAGACGTTCGAGGTATAGGGAGTCGTGACTTGCGGTAAAGCATGTTGATGGGCTTCCCAGGTAAATCATAAAAATGAAAGGCCGTACAGATTATTAGCAGTTTTCCGGTACATGCCTGCAGGATGATTGATGGAAGCAACGATGGAGAGGCATTTTAACGGAAGGTTTCCCTAATTTATTTGTTTGTATCATGCAGTCACAGCGACAGGACCAGACGTTAATGCAAGCTTTACAAAACTTGAGCGAAACACAGGTAAGAGACAAACAATTGGTTTTTTTCTCCAAGACCTTATAAAAGACTTAAACTGGAAACTAAACGAAGTCAGTATTTCGATGCGGCTACGGTTGTCGTTCATTTTCATCTCTTGTACCAAAACTGTTTTTAGATGTTAGATGCGGCTGAGCATATAACAACACAATGCCTTGGCACAGTGCATCCTCCAAAATCAGCCACATATTTTGCCATATAGCCTCAATCCTGCAAATCTTCCATTTTGCAAAGAGCATTTTGGAGGATTTGGGAAGGTAAGTGTGTTTTAAAAACAGTGGGTCCGATCACAGTTGAATGACTAGCCGAGACTGAGGGATTGCAATTTTTTTTGGCTCTGCAAGGGTCTGGTTGTGGTATTTATTAACACTTGATGAAAGAAGTATTTCTAGCCTGGAGTCGGGTCATGGGGTCACTAGCCCCGCTAACTAGGAGAGGTCTTTTGATAGAGAGGTCGGAGACTAGACGCTGTCTGACAAGCCCATACCGTCAGCTTCCTTTCCAATGGATCACTCTATTTTAGTTGAGATCCCCCGTGATGACTGAACTTTGAATTAGCCATTCTTGCCAATGATTACCCAGGATGCATAGGTAAAAAAAGGGTCTCGACGGACCAAGGGCTACCCCAGCATTGAGTGAGTCACTTAATACATCTGCCATTCCGTTCGGAAACTTAAATCGGCTTCGCAATTACTCATAATTTCACCGAAGCGGTTAAAGGTCTGGTTTTGTCTTCTGGAGTCCACATGGGTATCATTCTACCCTTTTCACACTAGAGCTTCTCAACCTGGGTTGAACTCGACCCTGGGCGAATCCAGTGCCGCCCCTGGTCGAGTTTTTTATTTTTCAACCCTGCGTTCAACCCCACATCGTTTCACACTTGTTTCATGCAAATCAAGCTTATCATGCTCAGTTACTGCTGTTTTGAACCCTGACAAGAATTTCAACCCGGGTTGAAAATCTCAACCCTGGTCTGGAGCAGGGTTGAGTTTAATCCAGGGCGAAATCCACCTCAGGGTTGACGCAGGGTTGAAATTCTTGAAGTGTGAAACATGCAGTACCTCTTCCAAGTTCCGGTCTTTCGTTGACATGTAATGCAATGCCTGGTTTCATCTGACACGTACCAACTAGATCCCCCATGATCTCTCATGAATAAACGAATCAAAATACAAAAGAGGCGGCTTATTTGGTGCACATCCTTTAGGTTACCGGTTCATGGTTACACGTTACGTATGACAAAGACCTTTTTTAAACCTCTTTAGTTAATGAACGCGAATCGTGATTTTGAGCACGTTCGCAAAACCGCCTAGCATTAATTTTAAGACCAGTTGAATTATTATCCACGGCTTCCACTGCACGTTTCACACGGGCCGACACAAGTTTTCACATTAGCATCAAGTTGAACTCGGGCAAGGATAAGTTCCATTTTTTAGGCTGAATAATCCAGTGAAGGCCACTCACGTTTTAAATTTGGGGTTGTTTCAGACTTTGGATTTTTGTGGTTCTTTCGAGTATCAACACAACGATTTCCCTTAGTGAAATACTTGTTGAACTTAACACATTTACTCAGAAAACTGTCTGGAAAAACTGTGCGCGACTTTTTTTTTTCAAAGTTGAACAAAGAAATTGACTGGAGCGGGTTTTGAACCTGCGACCTCACGATTTTTTTTGTTTCGATTCGAAACTCCCTTCCTGGAAAGAAAAAAAGGAATCAAAACGCAGGAAACAAAGTTTCGAAACACCACCTCTGACAGTTTCGAAAGTGTAAGTGGACCGGTTAACAATCAGCTGCTACACGTGTGGTCGAGTTGTTTGCAGCGAGATATCAATCGCACCAAACATACCCCCCCCTCAAAAAAATTCTCTCGAATTTGGTTGCATCACCACGGAGTTCATACAGAGTTAACACGTGACCCTTCAGGCTATAACACACCATCTTTGTGTTGGTAGCTTCTCTTTTTTGGTTGGTCCTCAAATGTATATTCCTCGGGGGAGTTTCAAAGTTTGTATACATACACACGCCCCCGCGCACTAGATGCGGCTGCCAAGTTTCGTTGCACTTTGTGCACCCTTCTTGTTCAAACCGTGAACCGATACCCTCCCACGCGCTTGTTGTGTGCCTACGCAGAACCAAAAATTCGGCAGCTAACACAAAGAGAACAATGCTTATCAACGCAAGGTCGCGGCAGCCTGCCAAACCTCCTATTGTATTGAAACACAACAATATTGCCGTTTAGTTGGTTTTACTTGGAGGACGAGACCCACTCTGAAGAGAAATAATAGCTATAGCTGGCCAGGAGTGCAGTTGAAACTTTCAAGGTCATTCCGGGTTGTCTGTTCTTTGGGTGAAAAAACAGAGGCACGACGCACTTGTTGGCACTTTCAAACGAATTTGTTAGATTGAAAAAAAAATATTCACATTATTGGAGGGGACTCGTGCGTGTCATCAGAGGGGGTTGGATTTTTAAAAAGCCCCCAGAAAAATCAGCGATTATATTTTCCCACGATTTTCCTTTGTGTACAGCTTTTGGCCCCATTAGGCCATCTGAATTGACTGAAAGGTAATCCAAAATTATGGTCTGACAAAATGACTGTTGTGTGACGAATGCCTGCTTTTTCTTCTGTTCATGACCTTTTCTAAACTCGACTTCAACCACATACATACTGTAAGACCACCCCCTTTCAGACTGTCCACACATTGTCGATGTATTAAACTAGTTGAAGCCGGTTTTACTTGTTCTGATATTTGAGCAAACAAAACTCCCAGTCCCAAACGAATTTTCCCAAAGTTGAACCAAGATTGCCCTCTCGCACCATGGTTCCTTGGTGTTTTCCTCGAGAACGGTTTAGCACGATCTCAGGGTCAATACGGGGTCTACCCGATGTGCCCCAATACCTATGTTCCCCAAAATCCTTAGGGTTAGGGTGGTTAGGGTAAGGGTGGGAACACAGGTATTGGGGGACATACGTGTAGGTATGCACGCAGTCAATACAGGCCCAAAATAGGCCCACTTTACAAAGCCTTTACCTGGATGGGTTTACTTTTTTTCGTTTTGCATATGAGTGCCACGGCAAGTTCGTTTGAAGCGATACCCTTTTTGCTGGACATGTCCCTACAGTAAGCATTGTTGTATTGGATTTGACTTGACATAAGTTTCATTTTCGTGTTGCACCCAAGTCAATTACACCATTGCATTTTGCTTTTCTTTCACTGTATTTTTGAATAAGCGACACTCTTCTGAGTCCTTGGCAATATCTGAATATCCCACTGGTCGTCTGGCATGGTTATGGTCGGATTGGTCTGGTTTTTGCTGGCTGACCCAGTCAAAGTCCAACTTTAATTATTTACTCAAGAATATCGGTCCGCCGACACGCCGCAATTCACATGTGTCACGCCAGCTTTTTTTTTTGCCCTGGTGGGTTTTCAACAGACTCTCAAAAGGCTTGTTTGTAAAGCTGCTGGCAGTGCCTCTCTCCCCAGGTAAATTCACCGGCTTCTCTGATCGATAACAGTTTTTATCCGGCTCTCAAAAGACCTCATTGGCAAATACGTCTGTGAATCGGGTAAGAGGGGATGGTGGGCCCAGCTTTGGCGCTCCAAACAACGCTACCAGGGACACAATAAGTCTAGCCGTAAATCCCATGTTTGCCAGTTCCCAACAACCTGGGTTTTTTGAAGGCCGGGACGCTATGAGGATAAACCCCGCCGCGGCTTTTGAGTGCTGGTCGATCCCATCGACACAAGCCACGCCGCGTCACCAGGACCCTCCCGCTGCATAAGCTATTCGCGTCCCAACGCCAAGCCGAGCCTGCCCGGGCCCCGCTCAACAATGGCAGCACAAAAGTTGCCTCAGCAGAAAGTTTCGAACCATAATGATTTAGGGTTTGAACTGTCAATAGGCTGAAGTGTTTTCAGTGTGTGTAGAAGGACTTTAAAAATAAAATAGAGTCCAGTCTCATTAATTTCTAAACAGTTGTTCATTTGCGACAACTTGCTTGGGCTGTGGATAGAGGGACAACTATATAGAATGTCTCTTAAGCCTCAAAAAGTTCACTGCATTGTGGTATTAAAGTAGAGTGTATCGCTGAACTTTTTTTATTAAAAGTTTGTGTACTCGTAAGATATGAAACCAGACGCAGCACTACCACGGCAATACTAATCTTATATTACTTGTTAACATGGGTCATTCCGTAAATTTGGGGTCCACTTTTTTCCTGTCTCTATGACATCTATGATTTTGTAATTCTAGATATCTCCTTTAAGTGTATATTCTTCCTCCAAGACTGATGATGTGAAGCAAACGAGTCGGCGACCAAGATATAAAGATTAGAGTTTTAAGTCATTTTGTAATGTGACTTGAATGGCAAATTACAAAGTTCAGACTCAGAGTTAACGCCTAACGGGGACAGGAAAAAAAGTCACACTTTGGACCCTCAATTTGAGTGGAATCGAATTTGAAGTCAAACCAACTACGGGGAATTCAGGAATTATTAACAGCGATACTGATATTTTGGGGTGGGAGTTGGGAGAAAAAAACCTAAACCCTTAGAAGTTCGTCTTGTTAACACTCTTTCCTACTGTCTAGTCGGTTGATATTTAAGATCAGGATTTGACACCAGCAGACCAGCCACACGGGGCTTCAAATTAATATAAATAGGAAACGGGTGCCCAGTCACCATTGTCTGGAAAAGATGTGGTCCAGTTCCAGCAGATTACCCAAGTCTGACACGGTTTCCTCCTGAACTTTCCACGAACGGATTAAACAAAAAAATGTCCCTAAAAGGCAAGAGATATATGCCGGGTTCAAGGATTAAGGATTTTTTCGAAGTCCCAGGCACTCCAGTCACCCGCCCACGACCTTTTCGTAACCAGGTATGACTGCTGGCTGGCTGGTTAAACCATGGATGTGTGGGCCAGGGTTTTGAGGTTACATCACACTGTGTCATGTACAAACAGTGAATATACAGATGGACATGTTGCATGT